TTATGGAAAATTAAAGGAAAACCAACAGCGTAAAGGGGTATAAAGGAAAACCCTTTTTGTTAAGGGGTATGGCAGGAACACCATCTATGTGGGGGAGTATATGAAAAAACCCTTTCGTTTTTTATGAATTTTAAATTTTTTTATTTTTTTAGTAATTTAAGCAAACTTCAGAGGTACCCAAAAAAAACAGGTAAAGCACAAAGCCAAAGCCACTTATTTTTCCTTGGGGTTACCTGGGAGAGTTCCGGGGGGCAACGCCCCCGCGGGGGGGCCCCCCCTGAACCAGGCCCCCTGGTGGATCAGAGCCCGAACAACCAGGGGGGGGGGGCTGCTGGTCACGCAAACCCCAAAGTACGACCACAGCCCCCCCTGATCCGGGAAAAAGACTTTAGGTGCGTCCAGTGCCCCTTTTAAACTGCCAGGGGGCTGGGTTTGGGAATCCCCCTTATTTTCTGGGGCATTGGAAAAAGTCTCGGGCCCCCCCGACACTTTTTTGTATGGGCTCTTTAACCCGGGTAGTGACACCCCTTTCTTTTTTATTGGGGGGTGGTGCATCGTCCCGCCAAACTTTTGCTTTCGTATGGGGTGATTTTTCGTGTGCAAGTTTGGTTTCTAGTCCCTCTAGGTTTTTTCCCGGTTAATAATTTAATTTTTTTTTTTATTTTTAATTTGAAACACCAAATTACAGAGGTAATGTATCTTTTTGTATCTTTCCCTCCTTTCGTTCCAGGGGAAAACAGGTTTTTTGGAACCTCAAAACGCTCCCAATAATTTAGGTGTTTTTTTCTCCGTTTAAAGCGCGCCGTGAAAGTTTTCCTTTTAAAATTTTCTTTGGCGGGAAATTTTACCTGCCTTAAAGGGGTGTTAGTGTGCACAATATCCCCCCTAATAGAACAAAATGACCTGGGAAAAAATTTATCATGGGCTTGGCCTCCCTAGTTTTGAAGGTTCTCATTATCCATCCTGTCATTTTTCTAGCAGATGCGATTGATACAATGTTATGGTCCTTGAAGGTGAGATCCTCCGACATGATCACACTCCCAGGTCTTTGACGTTGGTGTTTCGCTCTATTTTGTGGCCAGAATTTGTTTTGTACTCTGATGAAGATTTAATTTCCTCATGTTTACCATATCTGAGTAATTGAAATTTCTCATCGTTGAACTTCATATTGTTTTCTGCAGCCTACTGAAAGATTTGGTTGATGTCTGCCTGGAGCTTTGCAGTGTCTGCAATGGAAGACACTGTCATGCAGATTCGGGTGTCATCTGCAAAGGAAGACACGGTGCTGTGGCTGACATCCTTGTCTATGTCGGATATAAGGATGAGGAACAAGATGGGAGCGAGTACTGTGCCTTGTGGAACAGAGCTTTTCACCGTAGCTGCCTCGGACTTTACTCTGTTGACGACTCCCTCTCTGTGTTCTGTTAGTGAGGAAAATTATGATCCATGACCGACTTTCCGTTATTCCTTTAGCACGCATTTTGTGCGCTATTATTTCCATGTCACACTTGTCGAAGGCTTTGCAAGTCTGTATATATTACATCTGCATTCTTTTTGCTTCTAGTGAATTAGGACCTTGTCGTAGTGGTCCCAATAGTTTGAGACAGACAGGAGCGACCTGTTCTAAACCCATGTTGCCCTGGGTTTTGTGTACTGAGGGTTTTCTAGTGCGTGGTGTTTCTTGTTTTTTAGGAACCCTTTCAAATTTTTATGATATGGGATGTTAGTGCTATTGGTCTGTAGTTCTTGCTGTTGCTTTACTGCCCCTTTGTGGAGTGGGGCTATGTCTGTTGTTTTTAGTAACTGTGGGACGACCCCGTGTCCATGCTCCCTCTCCATAGAATGAAAAGGCTCGTGTAGGGCTTCTTGCAGTTCTTGATGAACACAGAGTTCCATGAGTCTGCCCTGGGGCAGAGTGCATGGGCATGTCATTACGCCTGTTCGAATCATTTGGCTCAGGAAAAACATGGGATAGGCTTGTGTTAATAAAATTTTGTGGCTCACCCCTAAAAATTCATTTTGGAATTTCGACTCTCATCCGGGTTTAGCGCTTGCTAAAAACGATCATATTGGGCCCTTGAGTAGCTCACTCATTTCCTTGCTGTCATTGTTAGGACCCATCTTGTTAAAGAGGGGCCCATACTGGACGTTTTCTCGATTTTGTTTTGGGCTAGGAGAAGAAAACTTTGGGTTTCTTTCGATTTCTTTATGGCTTTAGTTCTTCCCTGCGTTTCCTGACTCCTAAAGGATTCTTTGGGCTTAGTCGATGCTTGCTATTTCTCTGACCAGTGTCTCCACTACGCATTTCCGATATATTGACCTCTTTAGCCGCTCTGTTATTCTTTTCCGTCGCCTGTAAAGGGAGCGCCTGTCCTCTTTCTGTTTTACATCTACTCCTTTTTCTTAGTAGGATATAAGCCTTGTGCATACATCGAGTTCCACCGAGTTTTAATCTGTTCTAGGCATAGGTTGGGGTCTGTGTTCCTTAGTAATCTTCCCCAGCTTATATCGGTTAGGACTTGGTTTACTTGGTCCCACTTTATGTTTTTGTTATTGAAGTTGAATTTGGTGAATGCTCCCTCGTGACTAATCTCATTATGGCGGTCTGGGGCTCTGCGCATACATGACTGAACCTCAATTATGTTGTGATCTGAGTATATTGTTTTTGATATGGTGATATTTCTTATCAGATCATCATTGTTAGTGAAGATGAGGTCTAGTGCATTCTCCAGTCTAGTTTACCTGGAGTTTACCTGGAGAGAGTTCCGGGGGTCAACGCCCCCGCGGCCCGGTCTGAGACCAGGCCTCCTGGTGGATCAGAGCCTGATCAACCAGGCTGTTGCTGCTGGCTGCACGCAAACCAACATACGAGCCACAGCCCGGCTGATCCGGAACTGACTTTAGGTGCTTGTCCAGTGCCAGCTTGAAGACTGCCAGGGGTCTGTTGGTAATCCCCCTTATGTGTGCTGGGAGGCAGTTGAACAGTCTCGGGCCCCTGACACTTATTGTATGGTTCTCTTAACGTGCTATGACACCCCTGCTTTTCATTGGGGGGATGGTGCATCGTCTGCCAAGTCTTTGCTTTCGTAGTGAGTGATTTTCGTGTGCAAGTTTGGTACTAGTCCCTCTAGGATTTTCCAGGTGTATATAATCATGTATCTCTCCCTCCTGCGTTCCAGGGAATACAGGTTTAGGAACCTCAAGCGCTCCCAATAATTGAGGTGTTTTATCTCCGTTATGCGCGCCGTGAAAGTTCTCTGTACATTTTCTAGGTCGGCAATTTCACCTGCCTTGAAAGGTGCAGTTAGTGTGCAGCAATATTCCAGCCTAGATAGAACAAGTGACCTTGAAGAGTGTCATCATGGGCTTGGCCTCCCTAGTTTTGAAGGTTCTCTATTATTTGCTGGTTTAAATTGAATTTTGTGCAGAGATTTAAAAGCTCGCGTGAGTGTGAGTTTTCATCAGAGCTGCCTCCTGGTGTTATTACTGCAACAATATTATTTGCTATATTCCTCCATTTTAGGTGCCTTAAGTTGAAATCCCCCAGGAGCAAGATGTTGGGTGCAGGAGCTGGAAGGTTTTCCAGACAGTGGTCAATTTTTAACAGCTGTTCCTGGAATTGCTGGGATGTTGCATCCGGAGGCTTGTAGACTGTCACAGTGACTAGGTTTTGGTTCTCGACCTTTACTGCTAAAACTTCCACTACATCATTTGAGGCATTTAGCAGTTCTGTGCAAGCATTACGGGCTGGCTTAAAATTAACTTAAGATGAACTAAGCAATGATGAAATCAGTGATAAAACATTATTGTAAACAGATAACTATAAAGCACAAATGAGTATTACAAAGACAGGTCATATGGTTGCATACATTGCTGTACATTCAGTCGAATGGAGTATTCTGTTAGGTAGTGTATTTAAAAAAATAAAGTTATTATTATTATTATTATAATCAAGGGGAAGCGTTAAACCCGGAGGATTATACAGCGCCTGGGGGGGGGGGATGTGGAAGGCATTCAGGCTTAATTCGGGGAACTGGAGCACAGATCCAATTCCCTAAATCAAGAGCCCCTCACCAACATCAAGGAACCTTCCTTGAGGGGAAAACAAAGTTAGATTGGGTCCTACGTTTAACATTTGTGTGATATAATTGTGAGTAACATATAGGATATACAATTTATATGGTTCAGTTATTCAGTATTTATTTGGTTTTGAGTGAGTAAGTGATCTTTGAGAAGATACTTGAATTTATAAACAGGTAGTGTTTCTTTTATATTTACAGGTAATGAATTCCAGATTTTAGGGCCTTTTATGTATGACAGGAAAACCATTCCGTGTGATGAGTGACGGGAAATTATTCCGTGTGGAGTATGGCAGGGAAATTATCTCATGATGGAGTATAACAGGAAAACTATCCCGTGTGATGGATGTATAGTTAGCTCATATTCAAGATGTATAAAAGCTATGTTTCTGTCACCCTGTAAACTGTAATATAATGCAGAACAGCTACACAATGCCATATTCGTTTTTTATTAATACATAAATACAGAATGTTGATGTGCATTATCGCTTAAATAACCTCTGTTTAGTTGATGCATTAAATAGTCTTGAAGCCTTAGAAATTAATTATATACTCACCTATTTGAGGTGAGTATATAATTAATTTCTAGGTCCTCTCTCTTCCTGCTCCTTGAGCTTTATCATACCTCGTCTTAAAACTATGTATGGTTCCTGCCTCCACTACATATAAATATAAATAACAATATGTAATATAATAACACAGTAACTAACCTGTAACCATACAAATTGTAAAACTATCCAATATAACTTCAATGTATTCTAATGAAATAAATATTTTAATTTTTATCTTTATGTTTCCTTCGAAGGTTGATGAGAAGAGTGGGAATAAAAGGAAAAAGTCTACTTTGTCTATGTAGTTTATAGTAAATATTATACAGAGTAATTTCACGTCTTATTATGTGCCTTCAAGAGTACATAAACTTTGTATATACCATTATGTAGTTCACCCTGGCACCAGGGAGTGTTTTTTTTTTCTTTATTAAGAAAAGTTGGTAGGCGGAGTGTGGGGGCTGGGACACAGCATTATAGAAGGTTATAGCAGGAGGTAACTATATGTGCCTGGCAGCCTCATCCAGCAGGTTGGTTACACACTAAATAAAAACATGTTATAATGTCTGCTAGTGTGTTGGACACTACATAGTCTCCCTCTCTACCATACTTCACCTCTGACTGGTAATAACCACCTACTATACGTTTTTTTCACTGATTATGGTTAAGTGACATGGTTTTTAATTACAAGACGAAGGTTAAAATGTATACACATTGGAAGTACAGAGAAACATTTTTATAGACATCGGAGAGTGACATGTGGTGAGGAATATACTAGCTGACGTTGGATAACCAAACAGTGTCAAGGATAATATATATTTTCCCGTGGTTGTGCAGTGTTTTGATGTGTAATGAATTATAGTCAAGGGTTTTAAGTAGTTACAGTGAGGTCGAGGGAGCCACATCTTATAGTTCCATTGACCATGATGCTCACACACCCAATAATTAACCTCATGTTTTTATTATGCTAATGCTCATTATTATGCTAACGTCTACTGCCTTTTCGTATTTTGTATATATAATACTGTATAGTTGTAGTGAACTGTATTACCTTTGTTAGCCTAGAGTTTAGTTTTGATTGTAATAATAATAATAATAATACTGGTAGTGAATGATATTTTCTTAATATATGCTGGATCATAGGGTAGTGTAATAAGTGTTCATGTACAGTTATACAAGTTTTGGATGATTACAATTGTTACATACTAACATACTTGTCCTTGTATTCCTTACTGTTAGCAGCATAGCTACTAGATACAGTAGGAATTAAGTCATGATTATTACCATAAAAATAAACCAAATAAATCAACCACATGAAATCTTTTAAAGAGATACAATAGGAATAATGTAAAATGTGTAATTTACATGAACGTTAAATAGAGAAAAATCAGCATATAATGGATACATGCACATTAACTAAACAAGGAATCTTTTTTCTTCCTTCTGTAGCTTCATTCATTAGGAACCTTTTAGCTTTTTGTGAATTGGTTTATGCTCAGACTGGTCTTGATATGTTAAGAGAGAGAGAAAGAGAGAGGCAATATGTTCCATTCTTTTAGTTTTTGCTGTATAATAAAAGGTGTCTGAGATCTGACAACCTACAGTACATATTACAAAATTGTGTCTACTTGCCAAATTACAGTATCAATGAGAGGAGGTGCCCTAATGCTGTGAAGGGCTCTTGCTTCAAGGAATTGAACCTTTCCTCTCTCTCTCCTCTCTCTCTCTCTCTCCCTCTCTCTCTCTCTCTCTCTCTCTCTCCCTCTTTCTCTCTCTCTCTCTCTCTCTCCTTGGATCAGATATGATTGCCTCATATTCCCCAAGGTGTTCTGTGAACTACAAATTTAGCATTCCCCTCCGTAAATAAATATAATACCATATTTCAGTTACCAGCAGTGGGGAGTTATCCATATGGCCAGTTCCTTGACTAGGTAAAATACTAATTATCCAGTAGCATATTTTAGGTTAGATTATATAAGGTTAAGGTATGTTATACTAGACCAGTGCTTGGCAATAATTTTCCTAAATGTGTAAAGAGAGCTCTTCACCTGTGTAAAAATATCAGACTTCTGACTGATTGGTGACTTTGGAACATTGTTGAGATCACTGGTATTCTTTTACACTGTAGCTAGACTTCATTGTCTGCTTCTGTAATGTACTGTACTGTACTTGGCTAATGGCTTTCAAGGAATAAATAAGCCCACATATCAGAAGAATGACAGAGAAACTATTGAGATATCTTAGGTTAAGTCTTCACATTTTATATGCTATACAGTAATGTGACTCGTGTTTAAAATTTCAAATGATAACTTAATGAATCATTCAGTCCATTAATTACAATCACAATAGTCATTATCTTTTATTTTTTTAAGAACATACATTTGTGTTTTAAGGAACCCAGTAGAAATAAGTCACATAGTTTGATTTCATTGAGTTATCCTATACAGTGGACCCCCGGCATACGATGGCATCGGCATACGTTAACTCTGGCATATGATACATTTTAATGCAAAAATTTTGCTTTGTCACGTTAAAAAACCTGCCACAAGCGATTCATCCGGGACGCGTCCCACGTGTGTCTTCAGCTGCCCCGTGCATGCCAGTGTTTACAAGCCAGCCAGTGCGGTCGCATCCACGCATACAATCGGTACATTTCATATTATCACAGCGTTTTTAGTGATTGTACCTGCAAAATAAGTCACCATGGGCCCCAAGAAAGCTTCTAGTGCCAACCGTGCAGTAAAAAAGGTGAAAATTACTATGGAAATGAAGAAAGAGATATGTAATTGCTAAGTACGAAAGTGGAGTGCGTGTCTCGGAGCTGGCCAGGTTGTATATCAAACCCCAATCAACCATCCCTACTATTGTAGCCAACAAAACGGCAATCAAGGAAGCTGTTCTTGCAAAAGGTGCAAGTTTGTTTTCGAAACAGAGATAGCAAGTACTCGAAGATGTTGAGAGACTGTTATTGGTGTGGATAAACGAAAAACAGATAGCAGGAGATACCATCTCTTAAGCGATCATATGTAAAAAGGGGTGGGAAATACGTACTATCATACCACGGTCAGCTGCTGCTGCACCACCGTCAGCTGTTGCTGCACCACAGTCAGCTGCTGCTGCACCACAGTCAGCTGCTGCTGCACCACAGTCAGCTGCTGCTGCACCACCGTCAGCTGTTGCTGCACCACAGTCAGCTGCTGCTGCACTACTGTCAGCTGTTGCTGCACCACAATCAGCTGTTGCTGCACCATGGTCAGCTGTTGCTGCACCAGTCAGCTGTTGCTGAACCACGGTGAGCTGCTGCTGCACCACAGTCAGCTGCTGCTACACCACCGTCATCTGTTGCTGCACCACGGTCAGCTGTTGCTGCACCAGTCAGCTGTTGCTGCACCACGGTCAGCTGTTGCTGCACCACAGTCAGCTGTTGCTGCACCACGGTCAGCTGTTGCTGCACCAGTCAGCTGTTGCTGCACCATGGTCAGCTGTTGCTGCACCATGGTCAGCTGTTTGCTGCGCACCATGGTCAGCTGTTGCTGCACCATGGTCAGCTGTTGCTGCACCATGGTCAGCAGTTGCTGCACCATGGTCAGCTGTTGCTGCACCATGGTCAGCTGTTGCTGCACCATGGTCAGCTGTTGCTGCACCATGGTCAGCTGTTGCTGCACCATGGTCAGCTGTTGCTGCACCATGGTCCAGCTGTTGCTGCACCATGGTCAGCTGTTGCTGCACCATGGTCAGCTGTTGCTGCACCAGTCAGCTGTTGCTGCACCATGGTCAGCTGTTGCTGCACCAGTCAGCTGTTGCTGCACCACAGTCAGCTGTTGCTGCACCAGTCAGCTGTTGCTGAACCACTGTGAGCTGCTGTTGCACCACGGTGAGCTGCTGCTGCACCATGGTGAGCTGCTGCTGCACCATGGTGAGCTGCTGCTGCACCATGGTCAGCTGCTGCTGCACCACGGTCAACTGCTGCTGCACCACGGTCAGCTGCTGCTACACCACCATCATCTGTTGCTGCACCAAGGTCAGCTGTTGCTGCACCAAGGTCAGCTGTTGCTGCACCAAGGTCAGCTGTTGCTGCACCAGTCAGCTGTTGCTGAACCATGGTGAGCTGCTGTTGCACCACGGTCAGCTGCTGCTGCACCACAGTCAACTTCTGCTACACCACCGTCATCTGTTGCTGCACCACGGTTAGCTGCTGCTGCACCAAGGTCAGCTGTTGCTGCACCAAGGTCAGCTGTTGCTGCACCATGGTCAGCTAGTCCTAGTGGCATTAAAAGAAGGGAAGTAACCCCGGAAAAGGATGTGCTACCTAAAGTCCTAATGGAAAGGGATTCCCCTTCTAAACATTAACAACTTCCACTCTCCCCTCCTCCCATCCCATCAATCATCACCAGATCTTCAATAAAGGTACGTGTTAGTTTGTGTGTATTAAAATTAATATTTCATGTGGTAAAAAATTTATTTTTTTTCATACTTTGTGGTGTCTTGCACAGATTAATTTGATTTCCATTATTTCTTATGGGGAAAATTAATTCGCCTTACGATAATTTCGGCATACGATGAGCCCTCAGGAACGGATTAATATTGTATGCCGGGGGTCCACTGTATAAAAAACAGTAAAATTTTCAGATTACATATTTACAAGGCCTGAATATTAAAAATAAAAATAAAATTTTATTTCTTTCCTGAGGTTACAATGTGTGTTTACATTTCATAATTTGAGTGGTACAAAGAAAGCCACTATCATGCCAAGGCATTTCGGGCAGACTTAACCTAATACATGTACTTCAGTCTAGACAGGTGGAGAGTGGTCGAATACAAATATTCAATATTTTACTCTATTATTAATATAAGTTAGTACAATTTATGATATAAACATACATTTTTAAGTTTGTAATAATGGCTTAATAGGTAAGGGATAATAAAATATTTGGGAGAGTTGCTTTAAATTTGGTTAGAGTTTAGCATAGTGTGGGTATGGTTGTTATTGAGAGATGAGATGATTTTTAAGTATAGTCATAACTGATTTGTGGGCAGGAAACCTCTCGCTGTTTCAGGCAGAGTTCCAGATCTTCAGGCTCTTTATGTGCATTGCATTTTTGCATGATGTGAGACAGACACGAGGGATGTCGAAAAGTGATTTGTGCCACGTGTTATGCCTGTGTGTTCTGTTGAAGCTGTCTAGGAGAAGTTGGAGCAGAGGGTTGATATTGGAGTTTAATGTTCTGTATAGTATACATATAGTAGGCACAGTAATAAGTGTGTATATTTTGTATATTTAGTAAGTTCAAGCTGTTGAAGAGTGGTGGGGGGTGTGTTGTCAGGTGCTGGAGTTTGTGATCATCCACACTGCCACTTTTTATTGGGTTACATATTAACCCTTTGAGGGTTTTCGTCGTACTAGTACGTCTTACGCGTAGGGGTTTTTGACGTACTAGTACTCATAAATTCTAGCGACCTCAAATCTAGTGGGAGAAAGCTGGTAGGCCTTCATATGAAAGAATGGGTCTACGTGGTCAGTGTGCACAGTCTAAAAAAAATCCTGCAGCACACGGTGCATAATGAGAAAAAAAAAACTTTTTCCATTTTTTTTTAATAAATCAGCGACTTTGCAGTGTATTTTCGTATAGTATTTATTGTTGTATTCTAGTTTTCTTGGTCTCATTTTATAGAATGGAAGACATATTACTGAAATTGAGATGATTTTGACTGGTTTTACAATGAAAGGTGCCTTGAAATTTAGCTCAAAGTAGCAGAAATGTTCGATTTTTACCAAACTTCAAAAGTAAACAAATCGTGCCAAGCGTGCAATACACGTCAACTGGTGAGTCTAATATTCTTTCACAAGTGCACCAATAATATTTATACCATTTTTTACACTAATGCAGTAGTCTGCATAACAGTAAATCTTATATTTTTTGTGAGAATAAAAATTCAAAGTGGAAAGCAAAAGAATATAAGAGGGGCCTTGAGACGTGACTAATGACTAGAGGAAATGTCATTTTAGTGCCAGGAATGTCTTTCTTGTTTATTCTGGACCCTATTCCGAATTGGCATCTTTTGAAATTTGTGTGAAATTGGCAAAATTGCTAAAATTCTGACCACTGTACTGGATAGTTGAATTTATAAATGGGTGGGTTTTTTGCACCCATTCGATAGAAAAAATGGAGTTCTAGCGAAATATTCATGTTTTTTGTCGACTAGTACAGTGAAATTGGCCGAAAATGGGGCTCAAAGTGGGCAAAATCGCCGATCCGTAAACATCGCCGAGACCGCTAACTTTGCGAAAGCATAATTCCGTAAGTTTTCTATCAAATTTCAAACTTTTGGTGTCGTTTTTGATCGGGAAAAGATTCTCTATCTTTTCATAAGAGAAAATAATTTTTTTTTTTTTAAATTTGGCCGACCCTGAGAACGAGTTTCGGAGAGGGCCTGTCGACCCTCAAAGGGTTAAAGGTTTAAGGTGTTGGCCATGGTAGATCCCCAAGCACAAATACCATAGGTGAAGTAAGGGTATATTAGAGAGTGAAAGTAAGGAGCGCCCTCTGGGGTACATAGTATCGTATCTTGGAAAGCATACCTACTGTTTCGGAAACTTTCTTAGTTATATGCTGGATGTGGGTCTGAAATTTAAGATTACAGTCAAGTAGGAGACCTATAATTTGCCCTCATTGTGTCTTGTAATGGGTGAGCCATTTATCGATATGTTTAGCTGGATATTTAATGCTGTTTCCAAAAGACATGAAGTAGGTTTTCTCTATACTGAGAGTAAGTTTGTTGGTCGTCATCCAGTTTGATATTTTATGTAACTCGCTGTTTACAGTGTTACTTAGTATAGCTGGGTTTGGATGGAAGAAGACGTAAGTGGTGTCATCTGCGAATAGAACTGGTTTAAGGAGTCACGATGCATTTGGGAGGTCATTGATGTAAATAAGAAAGAGTAGAGGACCTTGGACACTTCCCTGTGGCACTCCAACAACTACAGGCTGAGTATTGGAGATCACGCTATTTGTGTATACACCTACCATCCGACTTACGACCGAGCTTGGTTCTGACCAACCAGTTGTAAGGCAAAATGGACGCAAGTCGAACCTTACTACTGAATATCAACATCACATTTTTGTAATGATTTTATTTTATTGTTTTATTTCGGTATTTCATTTTTTTACTTTTTATGCTGTTAGTACTGTATTTTTTACTGTAAGGTTTAGGATAAACATGGTCGTAAGTCAAGTGGTCATATGTCGAGCAGGTCGTGAGTCGGATGGTAGATGTACTACAGTGTGTGTCCTCTGACCCTGTAATGATCTAGTTTCAGGTGCAAGATATTGTGGTCTACTGTATCAAATGCTTTCCATAGGTCTATGAAGAGCCCCAGAGGATATTAATTTTTTCAATTGCTATATACAGTGGACCCCCGCATAATGATCACCTCCGAATGCGACCAATTATGTAAGTGTATTTATGTAAGTGTGTTTGTACGTGTATGTTTGGGGGTCTGAAATAGACTAATCTACTTCACAATATTCCTTATGGGAACAAATTCGGTCAGTACTGGCACCTGAACATACTTCTGGATTGAAAAAATATCGTTAACCGGGGGTCCACTGTATAGTAATTCGAGCATCTGAATAATTGCATCATTCGGGCTTTTTTTTTTCAGCCTAAACCCAAACTGGCAGGGTTTCATTATGTTATGGGGTAGGAGGTAGGAGTAGATTTCTTTGTGTATTATTTTTTCAACGATTTTAGAGAGCAAAGGTAAGTCAGATATTGGTCTGTAGTTATTTAGTTCTGTAGGATTGCCTCCTTTGAGGATCGGGGTGACCCTTGCTGTTTTGAATAGTGTTGCAATAAGCAGCACATGAGCTGCTTTTCTGTACATGATTGGTGGCAAGTTATTTAGGTCTCCTGCCTTGTTTTTTAATGATTTAATTAGTGAGAATTAAGTAGAATTTGTTGGTGCTATATATAGAGTATGTGGGTAATTACCAGTGAGGTAGTCTTGTGGCTGAGTATTTTCTTTTGGGATTTTGCTTTCTAGTTTTGATCCTATAATAGAAAAGAATATATTAAATTTGTTGGCAATGTCTATAGGCTGTATGTGTGGTTCTTCTGGTTTCGCTAAGTTAATCTCTCTGTTTCTAGACAGTTTTCTGGAGCCCAAAATTTAAGAGAGTTTTCCAGGTCTTTTTCATATCACCTTTTATTTTATTAAATCTGTTTACATAATACATTTGTTTGGACTTCCGTTTAGTTAGTTCTTTTGTTATTAGGCCCTGTCTGAATTGATGTATACTGTTTGTAAGCCAGGGGCTGTTTAGTCTCTGCTGAGATCTGCTTCGTTTTCATTGGACGATGTCAACAGGCTTACTTGCAAAGATATCATACATGGCAAAACCCATAGATATTCATATATTTTTGGGTAGATTTAAACAAGGAATAATACTAATAGAGCAAAATTATGATGCATACATATATGTAGCATATAATACACATATTGTACACTACTTCACAAGCAGATCAATACCATAAGCAGAATGTTCTTATACCAAGTAACATTTCCTTTTTTTTTTTTTTTCCCCTATACAGGACAATCATTTTAGGTAAATATTGTTCAGTATTTTTTGTTATTTTTACATTTCCACAATAGCTTACAGTATACAGTGTTTAGCAGCAAGTTACTTTGCAACAGTGGCTTCTTTATTAGATGCACAATAATTTGTCATGCAGCTATTTGCAATATTAAATAGAAGTGGTGTAGCTGTGATTTATGTAGATGCTAGATGTTCTTTGTGGCAGCCAGGTTCATTTTGGGCATTAATTAAATGGAATTTAAATTGTTTGCATATGTCTAGGTTTATGAGAAATTAATAGAAATTTACTGACCTGTATTTCTCAGATTGTTGTTGAGAAATTGTACCAAATAGATTTGTGTACTGCTCTTGCATCTATGAATAGTTTTTCTATTATGTGAATATAGTGATGCAGATTCACTCTTTATGGGCATTTTTAAAAGTTATTTAAACTATCTTAAAAATGGTTTGTTAATGATATGTACCATCTTGAATGTCTTACTCATGAAGTGGGTGCTCCCTATTCTCAAGAATAAAATACCTTTACATGTAAAAACTTTGCTGCATTGCATCTTTTGAGATACAGTATTGTATAATCTAGGTCTGTTATCAAAAAGGGAGAGTGAGAGAATTGCAAGAACAATGTAAGCAGATGTTTGATTGGCTAAGTCCGTCTTCTGGAGAGAGCGACTTGCGACTTTACAGAGGGGCTGGCTACTAGGTAGCTGTTCTATAAGGTAAATATGTACTCCAGTGAAGGTTTCAACTTTAGCCTAATTACTGTACTGTATGTACTGCATCATCCCAACACAGACTATGCTAGTGTTAATGTTGCTGCTATCTTGCAGATTATTAAGAATATTGTAAATTACAAAAATTAGGAGCAGGTTGGTCTACAGTGCCTTCATTATTTCATGAGTAAAAACTGTACAATTGATATATGGTTTAATATTTATGGTTTTCTTAAGGCCTGTCCTCCCTTAACGACGTACTCATTTACCAACGCCTCAGATTTACGATGGGCTCTCTGACCAGTATTTATACCTAAATAATGTGTATTAGAGCTGATTTCCTCTATTCTATTTATTTCAGTATACAGTACACTACTGTATAAACATTTAAAAATATACTAGAGATGTTATAAATGGTGCAAAGGTGACATTAAAACAATATCAGAGATGGTTGACACAAACCCACTACCATTATAGTATGCTCCTCACTTAGCGATGAATTCGTTTAGCGACATGGTCTTAGGAGCGGAACTCTGTAGTTAAGTGAGGAGAGGCTGTACTATTATTTTTCCTTGGTTAGTTTTTTTACCAAATACTTTGTGTAACTATGGAAGTATGGAGAGCTCACATTTGTATGGTACACATTGGTCAAGAACTATAGATTTGATAGTAACGGTTTCCTTAAGGCTACGGTAGTCACCACTAATTGCTACCTACATACTAGACATGTCTGGGGGAAGTGCAGGACATTGGGACCTCACCTCATTACACCAGTCCTCAGTTATGCTCTCAATTACTTTCCCCACACTATACCTCCCTCCTGTTCCACTGTCCCCCATCCCTTCCCTCCTTCCTCAACTCTCTCAGACACTTCAACTGTAAAATATAAATGGTTATAATTATAACTTTAACTTTTAACGGAGTGGACTGGTAAGCCAGTGAAAAGGCTCAGTCAGATGACTAAAAGCTCCAGCTGCAGGTCATCATATGACTAAGACCCAAAAGACAAACCTTACCTAACCTAACCTAAGTTCAACTTTAGGGACGTGCTTCTGCAGACATGTACTGTATTGGATCTCTGTTCTGTTTACTAAATAATTTTGAATATTATAGCATTTATATGTGAATATTGGGTAAATATTCATATTTAAAAATTATATTAAATTGGATACCTGGTACAGAATATTATGGCTTAGCATCTCTCGACTTTCAAATGGGTGTCTATGAGGAAAATAGGTTCTGGGCTCTGAACAGTCAACTTTCACTTTTCATAAGTCGGGGGCCTACTATAATGCAAAATGTCAAAAATCAGAATAAAAATCTTTATTTCTTAGAAATATACACAAGTTACAATAAGTAAGTAAATTTATTTAGGTAGTGTTTCACATGTCTAGGGGATTACAATTATCATACCAGTAACATGTGTAAATTACCTAGGATAACCCCACAAAAAGTCAGTTATTTTCTTTTCACTGGGGTCCTTGTAACACATGTATGTTATTAGCAGCCTAGCAATTAAATACAGTAGAAATCAGTCATGATTATAACCTTAAAAATTAAAAGAGCTATGGAACTCAGCTGTGTGAAAATTGGTTACAATAAAAAGATGTAGTATGTGTGATAGGAATAAAATGAGCTGAGTAATTTACATGAACATTAAATAGAGAAAAATCAGCCTAATAGTTACACAAACAGTTGATTTACAGTTCTGTTTGTTACAGTTTTGGTATAATTATGATACAAATACATTTGATACAAGTGCATATACAGTAGCTGGTTCTGCAAACAGTCTTTTTTTTTTACACTGTTGTTGGCAGTATGCCATTTGAATCCAACAGTTTATTAGCTTTCAAAGGATTAACCCTTAAACTGTCCAAATGTAGATCTAGGTTTGCGCGCGTAGCACTCCGACCTTTATTTTCTCCATAAAGCATGTACAGTTTAAGGGTTAAAAGAATAAATGACCAACCATTCATGCTGACATTTTTGCACGTTACAGTTTGTCTTCATCATTAGTTGTTCTTTCAATATGTTAGTGTGTTTTAAAGTAACCATGAATAAAGAATTTAGTCTGGTGCATAATATCCTTTATAAATATTCTGTACCTTTGTAATTCTTGCACATTTTGACATGACGGTCACAAATTTTAGACCCAAATTCCCACTATGTATATCTAGAAAGATATCCATCATATGTCTAATAGCAATCAGGAAAAAAAAATACGGCCTTTCCTCACTTAAAGATGAAGTTCCGTTCCTAAGGCTGCATTGGTAAACGAATTCATCACTAAGCAAGGAGCATACTATAATGGTAGTGGGTTTGTGTCATCTTTCATATTGTTTTAATGTCACCTCTGCACCATTTATAACATTTTTAATATATTTTTAAATGTTTATACAGTGCTGTACTGCATATTATAATAAACAGAATAGAGGAAATCAGCTGTATTATACATCATTTAGGTATGCATACTGGTCAGAGAGCCCATCGTAAGTCCAAGTCGTAGGTAAACGAGCTTTATTTCTACCTCATAGTCTTAATTGTGTTTAATATCTACAGAATCTCTCTCCTTTTTTACATCTTACCACTTCATTGTTCTATCTTATTTTAATTGAAACTAACCATAGCTTGTCCTTCTCAGTTATTCTACCTCACTTTAAGAAATACTCTATTGCCCAATTTTATTTTAAAATCTCTATTATTGCTCAGTTTTACTGTAAACTGTATTGACCAACCTTATTGTAAACTTTTTATTATTGCCCATTTTTATTTTATACTTTAGTGCCCAACTTTATTGTAAACTTTTCATCTTATCATTGCACTATTCTAGTCTTGAGTTAATTATACTTGCCCAATTTTGCCAATACAGTGGACCCCCGCATAACGATTACCTCCGAATGCGACCAATTATGTAAGTGTATTTATGTAAGTGCGTTTGTACGTGTATGTTTGGGGGTCTGAAATGGACTAATCTACTTCACAATATTCCTTATGGGAATAAATTTGGTCAGTACTGGCACCTGAACATACTTATGGAGTGAAAAAATATCGTTAACCGGGGGTCCACTGTACTTTATTGCCCAATCTATTTTAAACTTTTTATTATTGCCATTTTTTATTTGTAAAGTTTATTACCCAGTTTTATTATATACTTTTTATAATTGCCCTATTCTATTTTAGACTTGATCACCCAACTTTATTTTGCTTTTTTTAACCTTTTGTTACCAAATTTTTAAGCTTGTATATTCAACTCCAACTTTTATATTATCCTGTGTACCATCTTCTATCATATTATAACCAAGTCATTGCCATTTTTACTTTTTTTTTTTTTTTATTTTCTTTTGCTACCTTTAACTTGTGTATTTTATCTTGTCAATTTAAATTTAGTTATACTCTAGTTCTTGTTAACAACTTATATTAGACCTTAGTGCAATTACAAGTGAGAGTCTTGTGCCATTTTAAACTAGTATTTTTTATATTATTAGATTAAACCTAGTTGTACTTTAGCTCATTCTAGCTCAATACATAGACAACACCAAATTCATTATATTAGACCTTAGTTCAATTACAAGTGAGAGTCTGGTGCTATTTTTAATTTGTATTTTTATATTTTTAGTTTATACCTAGTTGTACTTTAGCTCATTCTAGCACAACACATAGACAACATCAACTTCATTATGTTTATTAGTGACTATACTCTATATGACCAAAGTGCTTTAGCTATATACTTGTCCAAACTTCCCACTACTACAGATATCAGTACTAGAACTCAAGACACAATTCAGGATATAAATAACCACAATTTAAACCTAGAAGATGAATGATCACGTCGACCCTGATCTAAACCTTCATAATCTAACACCCAATCAAAACCTACTGGAAAGTAACTGCCTTTATTACACAGCATCACGAGCCAGCACTATCCTAAACAGTGCTAAAATCTATCAGTTCTTAACTACAACATCAGGTCCTTAAGCAAACACTATGATGACCTGGCACTCCTTGAGTCGCTAAAGACACCCTTCTCGTGCATTATTCTTACTGAGACCTGGCTTAAGCAGGACACAATAGATATCTATCCTCTACCAGGATACACAGCAATCCACAACTGCAGACCATACCAAGTTGGGGGTGGTATTGCAATTTATTACTCTAACCAACTATCTTGTATTAGCACCACTTGCTTTAGTGATGAATATGGGGAATACATTTTTGCTAATTTTAATGTAAAAAACCTTAAGACGCCTATAACAATCGGTGCCATTTACCGGATACCCCACACAAACATCCCAAATTTCAGTGAGAAATTAAAGGCACTAATAACAAACAGACAAATGAACAAGCATCACCTCTTAACTGGAGACTTCAATACCAACCTTGGCCTACTAGATGATCAGCCTGTAACTGATTTCATCAACAATATGAACAACACACTTCTCATACCAACAATAACTAAACCAACCAGGCTCACTGAGACAAGTGCAACCATAATAGACCACATATGGACCAATATACTAGCCCCCTTAAGGTGAGAGATGACACAAGTCATGTCGTCAGCAAAGAGAATGGGTTTCAGGTGTTGGGATACGTTTGCCAGATCATTGATGTAAATGAGGAAGAGCAGGGGTCCAAGGACACTTCCCTGCGGAACTCCAGTATCAAGTGGCCGTGTTGATGATGCTGTGTCTTTAATGGTGTCATACTGATACCTATTAGTAAGGTAGGATTTGAAATATGCAAGCGCATGGCCTCTTATACCATAATGGTCAAGTTTGTGGAGTAGGATGTTGTGGTCTACTGTGTCAAAAGCTTTTCTTAGGTCAATAAAAATTCCTAGCGGATATTCCTTATTTTCCAATGCTGTGTAAAGCAGATCTAGCATTTTTACAATTGCATCATTAGTGCTTTTATTTTTCCTGAATCCAAACTGGCAGGGGTTAAGCATGCTTTGTGCCACTATAAATGAATGTAGTCTCCTGTGCACGAGTTTCTCAAAGATTTTGGAT